GTTCTAGCCTGCTAATGTTCATTTTTCATGCGCCGACAGGCTTTTCCATGATGTTTTTCATGAGCCGACAGGCTTTTCCATGTTTCATAAGCCACGAAGCTTTCAATTATCATTATGATTTTATTAGTGTTGTCCATCTTCCTAAACCTTCAAACTCCATTTTATGGNNGGTTCCTAAACCCTAAAACTTGAAATATAAACTTGCAAACCCAAATCCTAAACCCTCAAGCTCAAATCCTACACCCTCAAAATCTTAAATCCTAAACTGGATAAAGCTTTAACATTCTCACAAATGCCACTTCAATACGCATATATTGCATGCCAGCCAAAAGAGAAGTCCAGGTTGGCGATTCTTCCTAAACCTTAAAACTGTTTTCTTAAATCCTAAGGGTTTAGGGTTTAGGGTTCCTAAACCCTTAAATTATAAACCTGCAACCCCAAATCCCAAGCCCTCAAGCTCAAATCCTACACCCTTAAAATCTTAAATCCTAAACTTGATGAAGCTTTAACATTCTCACAATTTCCATTTTGGATGTCTGCTTGAATAATTTTCATATCATCTCAGTGTATGTTCCAGCTCTAAGCCATCACATTTTCGGGTTGCCTGTCAGCTTATTGCTAACTCATTATAAAAAGTTAGTAAAAGAAAGCTAACTCAACATAACTATGTTAACCATTTATAACAAAACCAGGATTCCAAGTAGATGACGCCACATGTAGTGACCCATGTGGCTGTATCCATGCAAACCTCTGAGAAACCAAGCGACAGCAGGAGACAGAGCAAGAACACCGTCAGTGTAACAGACTTACTGACTTTGTCCTTTCCTTTAGGATGACGCGTGAAGTTTGACAGCATGCGAATTATCAGTGTGCTGGCTGCCAGTAAGAACTTGATCTGTAAGACGAGGTCCTTTGTTAAAGAACCGAAGGACAAGAATGGAGTGCCACGGCTGCTGCATTATCCCACGCAAGACTTGCAGTTAGCTTGTAGTCTGAACCTGGATACCTCATTCAGGGACCTGCAGACGAATGAGTGCAGCCGAACTGTCAACCAAGCCACACCCCCTTCACAGCGGTCGCACAAACTGTCTGATTGCTGCCGGAGTGCCTTCCGGAGAACCTGAGCCTCAGCCTCCTGGCCATAGCCATAGAGCCCACAGACACTGAAGTCGCCTTCAATCGCCAAGAAGGAGGGCGGATTAGGTAATCAAGGGTACGTTCTGCGAAGGCCATTTAAGTCAAGTCACTTCGTGCAGAGTTGCTGGCCTTGCAGAGTACCCGCAAAATGATGGACAAACAGCGCAAGAGATGTCAGCGGGCAGGCTAAGATGCGGGCCGAGCCGAATGACCTTTGACTGCGTCGAGTAAGAGCAACCTGTACAATGGAAGAAATGAAGCCGCGACATGTTGACAATCGATCATCTGATCGGTTCTGCAAGCACCTCCTGGACCCCAGAAGCCGTCGTTTCCAACCTTCGCTTGCTGACGCTTGCTGACGCCAGTGGGCCCAGCTCAACACAGCTGGCATCAGCTGGCTGCTGCTGCATCCACACCGCACTAGCTGCTGGACGCATTCTATTCTAGGACTGTGACACGCAATAAACGCAATGCTCTCAGCCAAGGTGCGAAGCCACACGCTCCCAGTCAGCATCAATGTCTAAGGAGTCCAGGCTGACATCGGAGCTACTGGGACTGGAGCTTCCTGAAATTCTGACATGCATGCGCTCGTTTCCCTTCAGAAGAGGCCACGTCTGTGAAGCCGAGGAGCTAGTTGGCGGCAAACCAGCAGGCATTCCTGAAGCCATACTGACGTTGGCTAAGGACTAAGAGGCATTTGACGGGCTGCGCGCGTGATGCAAGGCCAGTCTTGTGAGCATGCCAACACCAGCGTATCCTTGACGGACATGGTCAGGCAAGTGCGGGGTGCTGATGGAGAAGACTTCCTGAAGCACGGCAAATGCTTTGAGCGCTCGTGCAAGTTGAAAGGCCAAGCCTGGTCAGGCCCACCTGCCTGGAAACGGTTTGAACATGCAGTCTTTCTCCCTGCAAGAGCCAGAGGTAGTTTGGGTACGCGCGACGCTTGCTTTGGCATCTGTACTGCGCCGGTTCGTGGTGTGAGCAGGGGGTGGGTCTCAGGAGGAGTAGGCAGGGGAGGTACTTCCACAATGGAACCGGGCCAGCGAATCCGATCGTTTGAGCACAAAGCTCCGGTGCGATCTGACGTGGCAAAGTCCATGCCATGCCGCGACTTGTCCAAAGCCAGTCTGGGCAAGAGTACTGAGCTGCGAGTGATCCCAACCCTGTCAGTTTGATTACCGTTTGCATGGGCATGAGTTGGTCGCCAAGAGGTCAAGTCACCCTTCAATGCAGTCCAACGTGGAGATACTGCCAATTCATCCCGTCTCAGCCACTGCACGGTGCTCATCCTGGCCAAGCTTGGGATAGACTCAGCCGGAGTTGCTACCCCAGCGACGGCAACGAAATCAGCCACCACTCTGCGGCTTTCCTGAACTGCATGCCGTTCGTAGATGCTCCGTGAAAGAGAAACAGAATGTCTGCCCCTTCGATGGGGTAGCTCCAGAGGGGCAGCCTGCGCAGCCTGGTTCCACACCCTTCCCCCCTGGACAGAGGCTTTGTCCAAATGAGACTGTCCAAGTAAGCAGTCACCGGACGCTTTTTCTCTGCCTGGTGTCCGTGTCAACTTTGTGCGCTTCCAGCTTCCAAGTTGCTTGTGCTCCCACTCCTCTGAAATCTGTGCAGCCTGCGCAGCCTGCTCTCCGTTGCTTGCGACGTCAACCAGGAGAGTTGAAAACAAAGCATCCTCCTTCGCGGGGCTTACTTTGGCCTCGGAGCCCAGAAGAGGCTCTTCCTCCAAGGCTTTCACATCATCAGTCTGCGTCGCGGCCTCCTTCGAACCTCACAGACACAGATGCAGCAAGCATTAGCGAGCAGCTCTTCAAAAAGGCAGTGACTGAGTCCACACGGTGGGGCCGCCACCCGAAACACAAAGAAGGCTCTGCTCTGCCGCGAGCCAATTCTCCTTCTCAGACCTGACTCCAAAACATTGACTCTCACATCTCACATGCTCTCGTTCATTTTGTCGATTTTGCTGAAGGCTGCATTCTGACAGCACTGCCAGCACTGCTGCAACTCAACTGCATCAATGCTGCCTGAAACAATGGCACTTGACTGCCAACCCTCATGGCCAGCAGACAAGTGTAAGAAGACGTTAGGAAACGCTAGGAAACGTTAAGAAACGTTGGTACGCCGCCATGCACTGACTGAAGGCAAAGATGCTAAAGCCTTGGGCTAAAGCCTTGGCCTGGGTGGTTTTGGCTCTCTCACTCTCCTGGCTTGATGGGATCCTCACGTGCTTGCTTCATAGCAAAAGGAAGGGCATAAGGAAGCACGAAGTTGCGGATGCTCGCCCCCCAGCCAGTGGTGGTGTACATGTTGCCCATGAAGGAGCTCATCTTCACGACCTGAGTTGCCCAAACAGGCACACACACTCACCCATGTTGGCTCCCAGTAGCGTCAACTGCCCAGCCTTCTCGGCCGACGGCTTCCGCTCGGCCTCGTATTTGGACAGGGCCTGGAATCTGTAAGCTCAGAATGAAAGCAAGCCTGGCTATTTCCACCACGCCCGCCCAAAGGGCTGTCAAGGTTACAGCAGCAGACGACGAGCAAGGCTGGGACAGCCCAACAGAGATCAGCAATGAAAGCAACGATATCAATAGTGGCAAGAGAATTGCTTCAACGCCATTTGAATTGACAGACTCCGGATGGTGCTTCTCTACATCTGACACAGGAAAACACAGACTAGGATGGCACATTGCTGCAATTCATCACTTAAAGTGGGGCAGGACATGCTGTTGCAGCACTACGTGTGACATCATGGTCGCGGTAAGACTGCTTGAGTAGTCGCATCAGTTGGTATTTCAGCGCAACTTTGCCAAGGAGGTCGGTCAGCCCAATGTGCCAGGCCTCTGGGTCCTGTGCCGCCAAAAGTCGGCCCAAACGCCATGCATCCATCATAGCCTATCAGGCACAAAGTTAGCAGCTAGTTCTTGACTCACTTAATTGACAACAACAGTCTTGCAGACATAGTATTTAGTAGGCTTGGCAAAAGGTTATGCAGCTTTGGGACCATGTTAGCGCCCTGGCCCATGAATGGCGAAGTTGCATGGGCTGCGTCGCCAATCAGCGTGATGCGCCTCTTCGGCGAGATCCAGGTAGAGCATGCAGTGTAGCGTGGCCAGGAGCAACCTTCGCCGCAAGCTCTTGGAGTTTCTCTTTCACAATGGTGGAGTCCCACTTGTCGCTAATGAGTTCGGCGCTTCGCATCATCAGTAAGCAGACATCGTGGCGAGTGTCTCCTGCCCCTGCGGTCCAATCCATGATGTGGTAGCCATTGCCCTCCGCAGTGTTCCAATGCACATGTACCTCATCCGGGTTCGTCCGAACAGGCACAGAGCTGCATGAGTAGATAAGCCGAAAGCCCGCATGCTGAGGCTCACCGGCGTCAAAGATCTGTTTCTTCACGATGCTGTGGATACTATCTGCCCCAATGACAATGTCGGCCTCAGGGTTGAGAGGAATGCTTTTGACGGCAGCCAAGAAGATGTGTGCACTTCCTTAGCCTGAGAATGTACTATGACTTTTGTCGGCCTTCTCAACCTTGCCGTTTGCGAAGCTTAAGGTGACTTCTGTGTCATCCTCCGAGATGCTTTCCAGCTTGTGGCCAAGAAAGATGTTCTCAGGAGGAAGTGACTCTACCACAAGTTTCTGAAGGTCGCGACGCATGATGATGTGCGCTCCTGGACCTGCCCCTTGCAAGTCCATGTCTGTGACTTCCTGGCCGTCACTCCAATACTTCGCATGTTGCGGGTGATTCGCTAGCTTGTCAAAAGCCTCTTTGAGGCCCAGCTTCTCCAGGATCTGGACAGACTGCTGGACCCCAAGCGAGCCTCCTCGAGTCTTCCATTCTTCCCATGCCTCAAAGAGTTTCACCTCGATTTTGTCAGAGTATTGCGTAATCGTTTTGGCCAAGATTAGGCCTCCGAACCCGGAACCAACAATCGCGATGCGAGTAGCCATCTGCACCTCTGGACAAGCCCAGAACGGCTAAAGACTTGAAGGCTGAAGGAATCAACAACCTTGAGCTGAAAAGCAGCGCTACACGTAAAGCGAGATCGCATGTGATCGCCATGTCATCTGCAGTTCAAGTCATTGGAGGAGCCTCAGCACAAGGCATCCATGGGCGCTGCTCCCAAAGAGCAAACGCTCGACGGCGCGTCTCTTCGACTGCGCGCAAGAGCAGACCTTCCCCTGCACCTGGCGCCAGGGGCCATGTGATTATGGGAGCCATGAAGTTTTTTCTGAGTTTGCTATAGGTGTCTTCGTAAAGGAGGGGGGGTAAGGGGGGTGAGTTTGCTATAGGTGTCTTGGGACAGATGGGCAGAAAGCAGGCTTGCTGTTGCTCATCAGCTGGGAAAGCTTCGGACATAACCTCGGGCTACGTGCACTTGTTGCTGTCATGCCCACGAAAAGTAACCCGAGAACATCTTTGAAACTGCAGAGCGTATCTCCTAACATGTTGGCATGTTCCTAGGATCATACGTTGGTTGCTAGTTCTGCCATGTGCACACTTAACACTTCATAGTCCTCTGTTAGGGCCAGCCGCCGCGTGACGTGTAGCTTATGACGCAAATACCCATTTTAGACCGCATGCTTGGCACGTACTGGCTAGGCTGCGTGAGGAACTCTGTGCCGGTACCTTTTGAGCAATGCATCCTGTACTTGTTTCAGTTGCTCAGTTGCACTGCTTGTCTCCAACACCAGCCCTGCCATGCTTCATTGTAAACCTCGTCCTGGCGAAATCAGTGAAAGCGGGCCTTACCTGAAGGCTTGCACTCTGGCCCAGAACATTGCAACCACAAGCCTTCCCAACCAAATCATCTTGAGTCCTACCCGCTGCCCTTGAGGTAGAAGTGTCAGAAGCTTGCAACTGCAACAGCCTTCCATAAGCTTTGCCACAAAGCGGGGCGACAACCTGCTGTCACCGCAAAAGCTGCTGTGAACCAGATTCATGGTTTGACCCAAGGAGACCAGGATCCACAAGCCTAGCATAGCCTATGCTGGCCTTAGAAAGGATGTGCACTGCGACATGAGCTAAAGCTGAAGTTCATTCTTTTCCGGCTGAAGCTTTCAGCAAGAGGAGTGCTAGTCGCGGCAAGACAGCAGGAGCATTAAGGTGATTTCAAAACTGCTCAAAAGATGCAGGAGCAGATTTTATTTGAGTTGCCTGGACGCCGAAAAGTGCAGCACGCAAATGCTCCGCACGTTTGAAAACAAGTCCTGAATGGGAATCGTGTCTTCTGCAACTCCGTGTTCCATCTTTTTTTGTTTGATTACGCTAAAGCGATTAACTGTATTGGCTTTGTTTTTTGCCTGTTAGCTGTCAGCATCCACGCGTCCAACCTGCTGCCCGGCTCAATCCCGCTCAACTGCCAGAGCAGCAGGGCCCTCTTGAAACACACAGGCGGAGTTGTTATGCAGATGGAAAGGAACAGCACAAGGCCCCACGATCTGAACGCCCGCAGCGCATCTTAGACGCTGCGAAGTGAGCTTGAATAAAGGTGTGCTTCGCAACGGATGCTCTGACAAAGACAGAGGTGCAGGAGTTGCAGGAGGTCCCCAAAGAGGCAGATTGAGCGGGCAAAAAGTCAGTAGCTATGCCCGGCATGCGGATTATGCGATAGCACGTGCTAGATGCGCTAGCAATGGTGGCACATCTTGCTTTTCTGGCTTGACGGCTTGACGTACAACCACAGCTGTCTGGCTGTCAGTCTGCAGACGCCCAAATTTCAGCCCTCGCCATTCCAAGCGACTCCAGCGCTCCAGTACTTGGGTTTCCTGGTAGACTCCAACATCCTCCTTCAGCTGTCTCGAACGCCTCCATGTGAATGCACATTCCTCTCCCCACCAGCTGCATGGCGAAGCTCAACAATCTTTCATCCTGCCTACATGCGGTTCCTGTTGTGATGACGACGGCACTGCTTATGTTAGCTCTTCAGCATATCGTGCAAAATCTGTACCGCCCGTCCTCAACTCGGCCATCCCAGCGGATAATGCCCTCAGCATGACTGCGCACATCGCCAGGATTTGCAGAGACACGGAGAGACTGCATACCTGAATCGCATCTGCTTGCAGCCAGGTCGCTTCTGTGTGCGCGCAACGGCCCAAAGCTCTGCAAAGCCAACTTTACATCGGCAGCGCCAAGCTCAAACCCGGTAAGCTCTTCAATTTTTGGGAAAGCACTGCATAAGCAGCAGCAGCAGTTGATCCAACTACATTGCATGGCGGCATATCTGCTACCTGCCTCTCACGCTTTGTTTTGTTCTTGCAGCAGCCTTTACCCCTGACGCCCCTCGACTCCAGATGAGACGAACGCCGGGGCCGAGTGAAGTCCTACAACCTAAGCACTTGCTTGCAGTTTGCTGTAAGCAGCATAAGCCTGCATTTCTGCTGGCTTCTGCTTCTGTACAATGCAGTTCACCAGTTCATGCACATATGCCGGATGTCGCGCGAAAGGTGCTAACTTTTCGCAGCATACCGTTCGCACGTGGGAAAACACGTGTCACAATCCCTGGTCCGGCGGCATGTGAGGCTGACCACAGCCGGTAATGCAGCAGAATCAGCAAGGTTCATGCTAAATAAATGCTACTGTAGCTGCTGGAAGTTGTCGGTCATGGTAACGTATGCTTGCTGGATGCTAGTCATGGCACCTCCAAGCAATTCATCATGGACTGTACATGTAAAAAGAATGACTTGAGCCCTCGGTCACATCTTCTTGAAATGAGCGTGCACGGACTCCCAACAGCCTTGTGCCAGACGTGCGCAGCTCAAGCGCAACATGGTCCTTGGCTCTATGTCGAAGAAAAGGCATTCAGGAAGCACGGGCTTTGAACAAATGCAGTAGCCAACCAAGTCCTTATGGAAAGTAATTCCGGCAAGTTGCAAGCAATTGGCTTTCCACTCGGGGAAAGAAAAGCATGAGCGCTGTCCAACCCGCGAAGATCGAACGGCAGCAGCTGGCAGGGAATGCTATTCATGCACATCCACATGGTGCACCTTCAGGGCAGCACATCTGGGCAAGCCTCCGCAAGTACTGTCAATGTCAGTCCAGCAGAAATGCGCTGAGAACAATACGAGGGTTACGGAGAAAAAAACGGCCTGCCCCATTTCTGGCACAGATCAGCATACTCCGGGCACTTCTCCAGATCCACATCCGTAGCAGAGCAAAGAGGGCCGGAGAACGTCAGACCGGAGACCTGTATGGCCTCAAGAGTCTAGCCATGAAAAGCAAATACACGGGCTGACCCCTACTCAGCACATTCGCTGAATCTGGCCCGACCCCACTTCCTAGCACAAAGCCTAGCAGCTCGATCCTCGATTGTTGGATTTGTAAAATGCCCTACAAGGATCATGTGGCTGCCACGAGACGTTTTAGATCATATTTTGGTGCCCTACACGCTTTGCTTCCAGGTGACGCCATCTTTGGGACAGAAGCCGCTCAGCATAATTTGCCAGGCCCAGGAATGCAGGATCTGCGAACCATGCCCCAATATGGTCTGATCCGGCCTGGTTCAGAGTTCACGCGCTGTTTTGGCGAAACACTTCGCAAGAGTCTTGAAACCCTCCATCCCGCAACCATGGACTTGTGCGCCATGTCGCATGCCGGCGCCAAACTTGAAGAAATCCTGCCGGGTTTCATTTGTCTCTCAGTGCTTGTCAGATGTCAGTGTGCATCTGTAACTATGATGAGAGCTCAGCAAATTGGTTGCTGATCGCATGTAACACTACATCGAGACAGTCATGGCAGGCCTGTACACTTTCCTTGCTTTACATGACAGCAGGACCATCATGTACTATGACCCCATGTGGTTTCAGACGAGCTGCAAACATTCGCAGTCCGGAGGAGGACCCTGGCCCTGTCATCTGCTGCCGCACCACATCCTGCTGAGGCACGCGGTTATGCAAAAAGAGAACATGTTCTTTTTGTCTCTCACTCAGCCAAGTTGCATCAAAGCGCGCAAACGAGGTGCCTAGTCCACCTCCTGCAGCGCTCCTCAAGCGGATTCAGAACCAAAGCATGAGCGTCTGTAAGCAAATTGTAAGCATGTCTGAGAACTTCCAGATCAAAGTGGGGCTGCTTCGAAAGATCAGACAAAGCAATGAGGTGAGTAAGACCGTCAGAACTCTTTGAGAATGCAAATCGAGGTCCTGATGGCTGAGCCTGGAAACGCAACGTAAGCAATCTGGAAATTGCAGCAGTTGGGAAGTTTAGGCCCGGTTACATGCCTTGCCACCGGCATGTTTTCAAGAACGTTTAGCAAATTTCGGCGATGCAAACACTCCTTTGCCAAAACTACAGCTGCAGCTCCAGAAAGGTGCATAACAACTTTGGCACGCGATTCGGTGCTGCTCCCGCGAGTGCTCGGCGTGTTTGTTGCCAAGGTGAGCTGATGCGCCTGATTGATTCAATCGTCTGTGCTTCAATTGCGTGTTCCAGGTGACTTGGTGGCTAATTATACAGCTCATGGTTCAAGCCGAGGTCCGTGCTGGTCTTGGCAAATCAACAGTTGGACAGAAAATGCAAAAGAACTCCTACAGAATTCCTCCAACGCGTCCCGTCGTCACCCTCCGAGTGCAGTAAGCGCGGCAGTAAGGAGATTAGACAAACAGTGCTTGAAGCATGCTTCTTCAACTCAACCAAGAAGAGTTGGCCAAAGCAGCTTCTATAATCCCGGTATGGCATAGACACTGAAAAATGCCAGGAATTGGGAAGCAGGCGCTTCAGAGTCGGGAGTTAAAGGGAAGAGAAGCTAGTGGAGATCGCTTCTCTGGAACAACTTGTCCAGCAAATGAGGCAGAAACAGCCGGCACCAAAGCCAGAAACCTTTCCTTGACAGCTTGACAAAATGGTCTAGATCAGAAAGCTGCACGAATCAAGACACTGCTGCCACCTGACATCAGGCGATTTTCTCGGACATGATTATTGACCTCAACGTTCCAGTATTGTCAGGAGTCAGGGATGTGTTTCCATGCAGACATAATTAGGGACAGACGTACATGGACTGAAAGATTCGGCCTTCCCATTGTAGTGGCGCCACTTTCAATCTGAAGATTCGTACGAGAATGAGGATGGACCGAAAGGCTAGAGCTTATCCTGCCTGTTTTGCAGTTAATCCAAAGCATGTTGACAGCCGGCGGCCAGCACTGCCATGCTGGCAACGCTCTGGGAAGGGGATTATATAGGGGTTACGTAAGGATTCTACACTGGCCATGTCATGGAGAAGGAAACTCTTCTGCATAACTGGCGGTTTCAAGGTTTTGCGATCCCGGTTAATGCTGTGGTTTCCCGTGGTGATGGCGGCGGTGATGGCGGTGGTGGTGGTGATGATGGTTATTTCAATTTGGCCACAGCTGCAGGGCTTTGGGGTGTTTACGACCTCCCATGTGGGGCCCTTATAAATCTCTAGTAGAGATATATAAGGTCCCCCATCTAGGAGACCCGAAACCCTTTGTTTTGGGTATGTATGTATCTATGTATGTATATGCATGTATGCATGCATGCATGCATGCATGCATGCATGTGTTGTGGTAGCGACAGCTGGATGGCAGCATGGCAGATCTGATGTGGGACCAGTTTGCTGCCATGCCCACTGCGATGCGTGTCGGACATTGTCGAACAACATTCAGAGTTAACCTGAGTTCAACCTGGGAATTCGAATTTCCTCTGCGGATCCATCGCTGGCGAGTTTTATGATATCATTGCGGGGCCTTTTTCTCTGTCTTTTTAGTTCTTGTCAAGAAGTGCGTGGTTGTGTGCCAGCCTTGATGAACAGTACAATTGACTGTTGTCTGCGCCTGGACAGGCTGCAGCGCAGAAGTTCACAACAGGCTATACAGCAATACTGTACTTGTTTCGCAATGACTGCGGTTTTCCTGGGATGCAGAACTTTCTTGCTTGGGACTGTATACCTTCCCTGCTTCTAATCGAGGCAATTTCACACACTCTCACAAAACAATTCTCCACCAGAATCTTCTTAGACTCTACGACGCAGGTTTGCAAGACTTGCAGTCTGTCCATTCTTGTGGCTCACGATTTACTTGATAGTCAACTTGTGACGCCTGTCGGACGGCATGCTTCCGAAGTGCATTGCAGCAAAGCATCCACGACTTCGTGCCAACGACGCAGCCGTGCCGGTTTGCTCGCAGTCTGCAGAAGGGCTCTAACCTGAAATCAATCAGCTTCGAAAACAAGAACAGGGTACTCTAAGTTCGTGAAGTTGAGAGTTTCTCAGAAAATCCCTCTATAAACATTAAACTGAATAAGGACTCCCAGAACCCTCTTGCTTATAATCCCCGTGAAGGGCCTCGTGTCCTGTGCGACAGCCTCCCCTTCCGGCCCCGGTATGGTCTCCTTGCCGCCGGCCCGGGCGGATTTCAAGAATGCCAGCAGTCATGGGGATAGCGCATGTTCTCCGCCGAAGGGAGAGAAAAACACCCACACCACGGCGGGAGCGGGAAGATTTGACTGACTGACTTAGACAAAAATCCAATACTGAATGGCTGCAGGCTTCAAACAATTCCGTATCAGTGTGGCCTCGACTCAGAGGATAGCCCGTTGCTGCAGGATGACCGCCAATTACAACAATGCAGAGAGCTCTGAGGGGAAGAACGCCACCCACAGAGGGGAGGGGAAAGACCTTACAGCTCCCACAGAGAACATGTTTCAAAGGGCAACACCATAAACCCACACCAACTTGTAAGTGCCCTACACAAATTTTCTGGATATCTCATAACCTCCCACCCATCGACGCACACAGGACGGACGACCCAAGTGGGACCAAAACCCTCAAACCGCATCCACAGGGGGGAGGGCGGGTCCTTGATCTCAAGCAAGAACAAGGACGTAATCTCACCCCAACCTCCCACCACACGTCAAGCAGGAACAAATGGCATATGAAGTATACTGAATCTTTGTGATGCCTCCACTTCCTTTGATGATCTACTGCTCCGTGGACGAGAGGCTACTTTCGCTCTGCATCTCGTGTTGGTCAAAATTTGGTCACAGGGCAAAAATCATCTTGGGGGGCGTTGTTGGATGGTTTCAGTAGACGGAGAGGGTGAAAACCTTCTTCCTTTTTCCCTGACAGCCTGGATGGGGGGGGGATAGGGGGGTATCCCGGCTGCGGTTCCCTCCAGTTCCCCACTACCCGCCTCAGCCGACTCCCACCATGAAGGCTTGGACAAATGAAATGCAGTGTTGGTCCTAACACGGTCCCGACAACCTGCCTTGTTGCACCGATTGATTTCCTNNCAGTCCCGGCAGCCTAGTTTGATCTAATCTTGTTGGGTCGATTTAGGGTTCAGATTTTAGCCGTCGCGACTTCTCCGCGCATAATTGGCGCTTGGCGGCCCAAGCCCCAGGCCCCTGAGGGCCCGGGCCTCAAACCCATGGGGCCGGGTCCACAAACCCCCAGATTGAGCATGCTGATGAGTCCCGCCCGCCTTGGTCTCGTGCCAGCCGCTGAAAACCCTCAAGGTTTAGGGTTTAGGGTTTAGGCTTTCGCGATTCGGCCTAGCCGTCGTGGTCCAGTGCGGATGCACGCCTAGCTAAGCTATGCTTATAGGGGTGACGCCCGTTCCGCCGACCCTTCTCTTGGAGGCCCTGGAGGCGTGTTTTTGGGGCTCAAAAATTGAGGTGATTTTTTGGCTGCGTTCCTGAGGCTTCCCCACACGCTACGGAGGGTTTTGGCACGTTTTTCTGGGCCAGCATCATCAGCACAATTGGGCCTTCGTTTCTCACTTTTGGCCACCTCAACATACCTAGCCTTTTGGAGGGGTCTTGAAGCGTCATATTGTGTGGTGTCAAGAAGCAAGTCGGGGGCCCAAACAGGCCCCATGATGCTCATGGGCTTGAGGGCGCATAAAATTCGCCATAAACCCCAACAAAACGCTCAAAATAGACGCTGTGGGCAGTTTTGTGGCTGTAAATACCAGTGTTGGTAGGATCTGCACTGTATGACAAGCATGAGACAGGTTTGGCGTGCATTGCCCAGGCCAAATCCTATAACATGTGAATGTTGCATGGTTTTTGGGCGTGTTTTGCCCATATTTCCAGCACTTTTGTGGCTCCTAAGCAGGCCCCATGTGCTCATGATGCTGATGATGCTGGCTCTTGGGGGGCTGCTGGGCGCTTAAGAGGCGCTGTAAACCCCAACAAAATGCTCAAAAAAACACGCTGTGGGCAATGTTGTGGTTCAAGGATGTTTTTGATGGCTCTTCTTGGGTTTTTGACTCCTCCTTGTCTCAATCAAGCCAAAATGGGGTCCCAATTGTGCTGATGATGCTTCTGTACGAGGCGGGCGCGCGCGCCTCCTACAGGAAAATCATCAGCACAACTGGGAGCCCATTTTAAGCCGTTTTGAGTTAAACTAAAGAACCTCCAAACCAAAAAAAAACGGATAGCAAGAATAGCCTTTTTTCGCGCATAACTCCTGACCAGGAGCATCAGCAGGGCCTGGGTGGGCTTGGTTTGCGCATGATGGCGGGGCTTTGGAATGGCGACGGCCAGGCCGGCCAGTGCCGCCAGGCCCTAAATTACAGCACCATTACTATTGGCTTGCCCTCAACCTGACCCCCTACTCCCCCACAAGGAGGGCGTTTTTCAAAGATATCATGCTGAGCCAAATATGCTAGTCGGGATTTTTCCCGACATGATACCGAGGTTATAAATTAGCTGCAAACACCATGAGCACAGCCTTGCCCACAAGCCCACCCCGCACCCCCACCCACAGTGGGAGGCGGGTAAGTTGTTGTGCTCCCGCAAACACCAGAACTTGGGCCAGCGCGGTACAGTGTTATATCTCTTGGGGTCCCAGACACACCCGGTTGAATCCAATTGAATCATTGCTTGGCCCGCCTTTTCAGAGCAGTTTGCATCTCGGAGCTGAAGCTGTTCACGGCCTCATCTTCGGTGCACTGACGAAGGTCCTCCGCATTAAAAACCTTCAGCCTACACTATATTCGTGCTGCTTTATTACACCAAACACCTATAGTGGACAACCTTCCATCTAATTCCAAGGAAATTGCCTTTGTTGCGATGCTGTCCTGCCAAATCTAGTGCAGTAAGTCCGGCAAACCATACACAGGCCAGGGTTACAGGCTGAGGTTTTCAGAGTCCGTAGATAGATCATACGATGGTGTCCAACCAAAATGTTCTAGATTTTTGGAGGGGGCAAACATGCACATGCCAGTTGCACAGTGGGGTCGATATACCCCTTCATCCATGCTTTGACTCAGAACATAACCCGAGCTCTGCAATAATGAGGGCGCGCGCCCTCCCATGCCCTCCCTTCCCCCCTTCAGTACTATCCAGGCCCATATTCTGGGGATCTTCCAGGTTTTGCCCCCGTTTCCCCGTAAATCAAAACCTATTTGGAGTCAATTAAATTAAAAGCCAGTGAAGGACTCCTGCCCATGATTAATTGTTTTGCAATGTTTCTGTGGGGTTTTCTATCCATGAAGAGAGATTCTTCTACGTCTACGCAATCTCCGCAAGGGGTAGCCCAGTAAGATGATCAACGAGCCTAACAAACTTTAGTAAGCAAACCGGGTTGCAGCATCGGCTTTCAGGGCAGCCAAGTAACCAAAACCTGAACTTTTTGAGGTGAGCTCCAGAATAATATACAAAATCAATCAAGCCATTCAAAAACATTCGTGAATCAACCAACATTAATTTGAAAACAGTTAAAATCATTTGGAAGATGTTTCTATTGCTGTATCGGGTTTCGAATTAAATCTCTTGAAATCAAGTGAGTTTTTGGGCCTCTGCCTTCGCAGTAGTCTTGCAGCCCAAAAATGGCCAAAAACAGGTTCTTGAAATCTAGAAGATTTGGATTAAGCGAACACATGACACCAGTCTGTGTCTTAGCAAGCTTCACAGTAGCAAGTTTCGCATACACAAGCTACATGGTTTGGCTCGTGCCGCTTCTCCATAATCTTGAGACACTGCCTGTGAAGCCCGTGTAGTGTCAGCTTGTACAAAACCCAAGAATCCGGATTTTCTATCCAGACCTGAAGTGAGGACATCGAAGGAGGTCCGTCCTCTCGCGGGCACTCGTGCGTCTTGATGTAGTTGCAGATGGTGTACCAGGCGGACACCTTAGATACGATCACGAGTGCCAAGCAATAGACTTTTCAGATCCGGAGTGATCTTACACTTGACGGAAATGCAGTCCCCTGGCACCTGGACGACCAGCGCCACGTCAGCATTTGCCCAACGCTTGTCTGCCTCTACCAGGTCGAGGATGAGTGGGGTTGTGTCCTGAGCAAGGCCAAGTGAAAGTGGGCCTTGTGCCGCAAAAAGGCTGTACGTAGGATTGCGAAAGCGCGGTCCAGTCAGTTGAATTTTGGATGTCTGAGAATTTTGGATGTCTGAGGTCCCTGCCCAGAACCACCAGCAGAAGATGGTGATCCGCAACACATCGCGACCATGCTTTGGCAATTGTGCCCAGTGCTCCAAGACAAACCGTTTGCAACCCTCTGCCGCGGTAAGATCTCCATGCCTCTCACAGCAAACAAGCAAGCAGCAAGCACGGGTTCGTGTTGTTGATTGGCCACTTCTGTCTGTGCAACGTTCACATGATCAACTCACTGCGTACCAAGGTGCTTTACGTCCTCACATGAATTTCCGACAGAAGGCAGCGCGCTGTAATCAAGAATCTGCCCATCCTGCAGGAAAACGTCCATGACCTGAGTCAACCATGTGTCATCGCATGCGCCGGTTGAAATTTGGGCATGGAATGCAACCAGCCAGCGACTCTTGAACAACGCCAGACCTTCATAAACATTGATGCGCCTAGCCGAGGCCTACTACAATCAGCCTTGGCTTTCTCAAAAACGTTACGATACAGCACTGATGGGCTGCTACGATTTAAAACTTGTAGGTAGGCAGGAAGGCATGATGTGGAGAATTGCTGACCACTGGAACACCTGCTGCGCCCTTAAAATGAATCACAGCCTGTGCGCCAGCATTCATTCCTTCATGGACAAGACCTTAACATCACAGCCAGAAATCCGTTCAGAGTACAAAATTGTGGCGCCAGAACGCCATGCCTTTCTGCACTTGCACCAGTATGTCCAAAACGTGGCTCGGTACGTGAAAGTATTTACATCTTGAATGGTCAAACACTACACAAACCCACGCAAACAAAACAACAAAAAAATTGCAAGGATTCTAGGACCGCGCATGCAGAAGTCGATTTTTGTGCCAGCTCCAAAATAAATAGCACGCAAAAAACAAAAACACCCACGCGCACACACAGTGAGCAGCCACGAGGTTACATCATATCCGTTCGCTGAACACTCCTTGAACTATACCAACTCGTGCCAACTCGAGCCAGGGTTCATAATTTCATTCCAGAAACTATCCCTTCCACAAAGCCCTTCCGCGATCCTTCCGCGCGTAGCGCTTGTAGTCTTTTTTGCTTCCGCCTTCCGCGGCTGCGTCCGCGAAGGTTTTTCGGCTGAATTTCGGGATCTGCCTCCGCGAAAGGGCTTCGAAGACTACGCAAGGATTTCCGTGCACGCTCTTTTCGGCTGACTTCGTTTGCTTGGTTATACAAGCAAGTTAGAGGGTTATGCATGGATTAAGATTGTAAGGGGAACATATGGGATTCGATAAGGTTTCCAGATTTCAGACACGCCGTAAGTTCTGCATTGCTTGGTTTGAAGTTACCTTTCTGGGAATACCTGACTCGCTGTTGACTTTGTTTTCGCGATCACTGGCGCGGGCTCTTGCGCACTGCAGCACAGGGCTAGGAAGAGGAACTGGAGCTGGAGCCTGTAGAGGAGGAAGAATCAGAAGATCCATCCAGAAGCAAAAGCATGGGTATGGATCCAGTGTTGCATTTCGAGCTTCCGCGGACCTTCCGCGGAGCTTCCGCGAACATCGTGTGCCCGGAGACGCTTGTCGGATAACTTGCATGAATGGTCCCAAGAAGACATGCTCCTGAAAGCCTTCTAGTCGCTTCGTTCAGGGCTTCAAGCTTGTGGTTAAGACACAGGACTTTGCTCTAGGACGTGTGGTTGGGATGACACATGCCTGGTTCGACTTGCATGTTGATAGCCGCAGTTTCTGAAAACATGAGACGTGAGCTTCCGCAGGCCCTTCCGGGAAGAAATGCCCCCGCGGAGCTTCCGCGGGTGTCCTTCCGAGCGCACAGTAAAACCTCGTTTTCGGACCAAGATTTGAGGAGTTTCTGTGTTGCGCAATTATACTTCATCTACCGTAAGAAAAAACAACTGCTCACTTGTCACCATCACATGCCAACCTAGAATGTTACTTGCACGGTTTTTACAGATCCTTTGCAATCACTTGCAACCAGCTCTGTACAAGCAGGTACGTGAGCGTCAGGATGCGCATGCCATGCATCCCTTTTGTTTAGAGCATCCAGCGCGTCGGCCATGCTCCTCAACTACTGCTGCTGCTGCGAACTTACATAATTGCCCAACCTCTGTACGCATGTCCCCAGCAATTCAGACCTCTGATAGAGTTTGTCAGCTCAGCGTTTCAAGCCATTCCGGACATGCCATGTCTTGCATTTGTCCCAACTCATTGGACTGCAGGTCTTCAAGTGGTGACATAACCTGTTGAGGAATGAGAACTTGTGACAATTGTCTCCAGATCAAGGAACCGTCCGCCTGAGCCTCTGGGTGCACTGCATGGAATGCTGTAGCTGCTGCTGCTGCTGCTGCTGAGTGAGGTGGGGTGGTAGCTGGTTTTGATGGCCAGGTGATGTGTGCGTGTTCGTGGGTGTATTGTTGCGGAGTGGTGGTTTGGTGGTTATGAGCAGTTGAAGGGGAGGTGACTATGAGGTATTGGGAAAGATTGGGAGAGACCTGTAATGAACATTGTTGAAGTCCAGTACGAATAGAGTGGGGAACATCATCTAGATGACTGTACTGTGACATTGCGGCCCAAATCCTCAAATAACTCCTATCACCCAGTTCACACATCCAAAACGCACGCGTGCATCCCCATTTCACAACCACGCGCACGAGCTGCGCCCTTCATAGGTCCTGAGCCATGTCAAGCGTGTCCATCTTGTTGCAGGGGCCACGCTATACCAGTTACTATTCTGGGACAACTTAGCAACGACCTCAGAGGACAGATTTTCAGAGCATGCTGCATAATTCGAAGACATGGATTGTTTCGGCATTATTTGACATAATATGTTGCCTGACAGAACTTGCAAGTTTGGCAAGTTGGGGCAAAATCCACATCCTTGGCAGCACACAGTGAGTAACAACCCGACCCATGAAAGAACGCTCGACGAGAGTACGTCTTACATTACATGCCAGTGTGTGTTTCCTGTGTTGTTTTTGTTGGCTTGTTGTTTGCTTTCTTGACCTTTGTCTTGCTGGCTGTTTTTGTTGTGTGTTTGTGTTTTGCTTTTCGGTTGTTTGATCTTGGAGTTGCTGCCTGTTCGGCAATACAGGGCGGAGGGTTTTTTTTTTGCAAAGGTGTGGCTCGGCATTTTTTTTTGCAAAGGTGTGGCTCGCTGAT